CTAATCAAAGAGATAAGTTCAGATATGGTCGAAGGACTGACTGGGGTCGAACTCAAGTCCCCAACTCAAGTCCAGAGCTAATGGGGTCAAAGGAATGATTGGTTGTATTTGGTGGCGATCAAGTCCAGATCTAGTTGGGGTTTGGGGTGAGGGTACTGGGTTGTGTTGGCAAGAGGGTTGGAGGCAGAGAGAGAGATTGTGTGGGATGGAGGTTGGTGGGTGGTGGGTGGTTGGTTGAGAGTGATGGAGGTGGGTGGGAGGAGAGGTTAGGTCGTTGGGAAAAGGGAAGTTGGTTTTTTTTTTTTTTTTTTTTTTTTTGGATTTATAACTAATTTATCAAACTAAGAATTGTTTGGATTCTAAAAAGTAAAAAGAATTAAAACTATTTATAACTGTTTTTTTTAATATTTAATTAAACATATTTTTAACTATTATTTATATTTAATTTGAATTTTAAAACTTTTAAATGCTAAAAATTATTAAAAGAGTACATGCCACATCATCAAGTTAACAGACTTAATGACTAAATTGACGGAATGGGGAACAATGGACACGGAACTAAAGCATAGGGCCATGATGACCCAGTTTGGATCGTAGGGGGCAACGTTAGATATTTAGTGAAGCACAGGGGCACATTGATAATTTAATCTGTCTAATAAGACCCTATCTCTTAGCCGTTAAATCAAATTAATTAGTTTAATCCAACGATAAAGAGATAAGCTCTCATTTAAGGGCCTTAAGGCCCTCATCTAAGGATGAAGTAATTGAATAACAAAAATAAAAAAATTAATAATAAAAGGCTGGTTCTTCACTTAATATTCTTTTTCTGGGAGCAGGCTATTGAACCAAAAAAATTCACACACAAAAAGTCATTTGTTAAAAAAAATTAAAAAATAAAAAGATGCATGGATTGTCTTTGGTTATGTGTCACGTCCAACAAGCCTCAAATTGAAGGCAAAGATAGAGCACAAGTGAATCACAAATTCTTTAACTAAATTACAAGTAACTTTTACACACATATATTTTGTGGACATTTCAAATTGCAAGGACAAAGGATATTCAATTCAAAAGTGGCGTGCTTCAACAAATCTCCTCACATCTTTGTAGCTTGATAATCCATACACAAGAAAAGAGTTAAAAAAAAGGAGGGGAGTTTGACCAACCAATGAAACCTCTCAAAAGAGGTTGGCCACTCATGTTTTTGTGGAGCTGATTATTCAACATTTAAATGAAGAATTCTTCATTAAAGAGATCTCTCTCACATCCGTATAGCCCGCAGGCTGCAGAGAGATACAAAAATTAAAATTAAAAAAAAAAAACAAAAAAAGAAGCCGCAACGCTTGGGAAAGAGTGGAGTGGAGCACAACCATGGTGAAGCAAAAAAGACACAAGGAATCAAAGATGCATTATGAATATTGATTGTGATGACAAGCTTATTTTGTAATCTCACAACCAATTAAGCACCCTTAAATAGGAAAACGAGTGCACATGTTGAAGCCAAAGGTATAATATAATTGGTATAAATTAATTACAGTTTCAACCCGTGGAGTTTGGGGTCAATAACATATTAGTCCCTACTTTTCAAAAATTGGCCAAAATTACCCAAAGGTTAGGAGTCCTTACCACCTTTGCCCCTCTTTCTGTAACATATATCTTTCTCTTTTTAAAAAATAATAATAATTTTTTTAAATACAAGTGATATTTGAAGAATAGAGAATCAAACCTAAGACCTTGGATGTGGGGCTAATTACTTTTAACCACTTGATCTACAAGTACCTTGTAGGTAACAAATATCTTAATTGATATTTACAACTCAAGACTACACTCACTTTCTCAACTTATTAAGAACACACTTTTCGGAATTCAAAGAAAATTGCAATATTTACTATATTGTCATGCCTTTTCTAAATACGTATAAATGCACCGATGCTAAATGTAGAGACTTAGAATCCTCTCACACACACACACATTGCCATGAGAGTTCGAACTCGAGACCACTAGTTTACAAGTCAAGGCCTTTTCCACTAGACTAAACCCGGTTGATGCTCAATTGCTTTCTAATACAGAGGTGATTGTTAATTTTTGTTTGCCTCTATGCTTGGTTTAAAAATAATAATAATAACATTTGTTTTTTCTAGGATTAGTACTAGAGATGTACATACCTAATATATCATACAAGAATTTAATAGTGAGGGCCTTATTATTGGATCAAATTGGTTAGTTGTTGGATCAAATTGGTTAGTTTGATCCAATAGTTAAGAGATAGGAACCTCATCTAAAGACCAAATAACCAAATAATAAGAATAAAAAATAATAATATCAGAATGCTTCTTCGCTTAACATGCTTATTTAAATGTGGAGACGGGACGGCTTAGGCATATTTGCCTATAATAAGTAAAGCTCCCTGTTGCTCGTATGACAGCCGAATATAATTTTACTAAACAACTGAGCTTTCTCAAGTCTTTATTTAACACTTGGTTTTATGAGTATTTTTCTATAGTGCTTTTGTAGCGAGTATTTAAATCCATCGTTTTATTAAATAATTAAATTTATTAGAGTGTTGTTAAACGAACCTTAAAATTAACTGAATACACCCTACTACAAAAGTATTTATTGAATTACTAATTTACCCTAATATAAAATTACCAAAAAGGATATAAGGAATTGTGAAACAAATATAATTTTAATAAGTAAACCCTACTTACCATATTCAACCCTAATCAAACGTAGAAAAGTTTTGTAACATATATCTTTCTCTTTTTAAAAAATAATAATAATTTTTTTAAATACAAGTGATATTTGAAGAATAGAGAATCAAACCTAAGACCTTGGATGTGGGGCTAATTACTTTTAACCACTTGATCTACAAGTACCTTGTAGGTAACAAATATCTTAATTGATATTTACAACTCAAGACTACACTCACTTTCTCAACTTATTAAGAACACACTTTTCGGAATTCAAAGAAAATTGCAATATTTACTATATTGTCATGCCTTTTCTAAATACGTATAAATGCACCGATGCTAAATGTAGAGACTTAGAATCCTCTCACACACACACACATTGCCATGAGAGTTCGAACTCGAGACCACTAGTTTACAAGTCAAGGCCTTTTCCACTAGACTAAACCCGGTTGATGCTCAATTGCTTTCTAATACAGAGGTGATTGTTAATTTTTGTTTGCCTCTATGCTTGGTTTAAAAATAATAATAATAACATTTGTTTTTTCTAGGATTAGTACTAGAGATGTACATACCTAATATATCATACAAGAATTTAATAGTGAGGGCCTTATTATTGGATCAAATTGGTTAGTTGTTGGATCAAATTGGTTAGTTTGATCCAATAGTTAAGAGATAGGAACCTCATCTAAAGACCAAATAACCAAATAATAAGAATAAAAAATAATAATATCAGAATGCTTCTTCGCTTAACATGCTTATTTAAATGTGGAGACGGGACGGCTTAGGCATATTTGCCTATAATAAGTAAAGCTCCCTGTTGCTCGTATGACAGCCGAATATAATTTTACTAAACAACTGAGCTTTCTCAAGTCTTTATTTAACACTTGGTTTTATGAGTATTTTTCTATAGTGCTTTTGTAGCGAGTATTTAAATCCATCGTTTTATTAAATAATTAAATTTATTAGAGTGTTGTTAAACGAACCTTAAAATTAACTGAATACACCCTACTACAAAAGTATTTATTGAATTACTAATTTACCCTAATATAAAATTACCAAAAAGGATATAAGGAATTGTGAAACAAATATAATTTTAATAAGTAAACCCTACTTACCATATTCAACCCTAATCAAACGTAGAAAAGTTTTCGTATAATTTTAAGGTCCTTTGATGGCTTCAAAGGCTTAGAGCTTCCAACACGGCGAAAGACAAGTGTTGATGTTTCTCAATGTACTTGATTCTTCCTGATGAAAAAGATGGGCAACCATATTTGAATGGAAAAGTTTGTTCTAGTCTGACTTCTTAGCTCAACATTATCCACACAATAAAGTTGAAGTGGATGACTTTTAAATCCCAGGGTGTAAACTTTTCTTCTAACTTGGAAGCATCCAAAATTTCCAAGGATTTTGGAATTTTGGATTGGTGATTATGCATTTCACTAGTAATTTGATAGAGATGTTTGACTCCCCAACACATATTTCTAAGAAAATCACAAGTATTTACAAGAATCAAACTTTGAATTAAAGGAGCTAGCAAATCTACTCCCACAATAGCTTACAAAATTAAAGATTTTTATGCAAACCCAAAATCTGGAAAGTTTCATGTAAAAAGAGAAACCTGGTTTATGATTGGTATTAGAGTGTTGTGTGATAGAGTGTATTAGGGTGTACCAGGGGTATTTTTGGTAGTTGAATAAGGTGCACTTAGTTAATTTTACATTTTGATTAAAATATTAGGATATACTTAGGTCATAGGGTGTACTTAGTTAATTTTAGAATTCGTTTAGATACACTCATTTTATTAACATAAGAAATTAATATATTTAAGGTCAAACTAAGAAACTTGAGCCAATGTGAGTCAAATCCAAATTCCCCAATTTAGAATTCTGGCATACAACTTTCAGTTTTATTGCAAGGGACTGACTTGCGCTTCGAAGGGTCTTGGCCAACATCACACCTATGCTTTCTTACTTTCAAGGCTGTCTTTTTTGTTTTGTAAATCTTTCTGGGAATTTCCTTAGTGTTTTGTAAGTCTTTCTGGGAATTTCCTTAGTGTTTTGTAAGTCTTTCTGGGAATTTCCTAAGCCTTGCGAAATTGTATTCCAACAACATCCACGTACCTCCACGGTTTTGCTGATTAATTCCTTGAATACTTTTCTCCATGTTGGAGGTTTATTTGCAATTTGCACCAAGACCCTTCGAAGATTGTCTTCACCAGAAATAAACCAAATAAAAGACAATCCTTCCCCTCCCCTGTGGATAAATAAATAAAAACTTAAAAAAGAAAAGATAAGATAAGATTGTCTTAACAAGTTGATCTCAAGCACATGTAAGATTTATTTCTCAAACCCCAACTAAAGATTTGTCTTCTTTTCCTACTTCAACCATTCAACAGGCATATACCGACGGATTCTAGTAATACAATACAATACTATCCTGCATCAAAGACGCACTTTACAGATTGATGAATTTGTGAAAGATACACTTCATCAATGTCAGAAATGAATAGCTAGAGCTGCCCCACCAAGCTCACTGCATATCATAAAAAAGAATTGTCAATGAGCCCAGGCATTCTCAATCATAACTTAAAGCTAGTAGTCATCCTTGATAGTTGGATCATCCTCCCTTTTACGTTTCGTGGCAATCTTACGTCTACTTTTCTTTGAGTCTCCAACCAAATCCATCAGACTTTTATGTGCTGCGTTCTTGATCTCATCAAGTGATTTCCTATCTCGGGAATCCATTCGATCTGCGGGAAATGAATCAGCTATATCTGCAATTTCTCTCATAGCAGCAACCTGTAAAGAAGTGTAGTCACATATACTTCAAATTTATTTTTAATGGCTGATAGTGATAACATCAAATGACCAATTAAGCAAAGGCTTACTATTCTCTGAAACTCAGATTCTAAAGATTCAGGCCTCCCAACAAACTTCCGAGTAATTCTCTCATACCACTCCATGTACTTGATTTCATCCACAACTTCCTCAACTTGTACAATCCGAAGTCGACGCTCCAACCATTCCCTAAGCTCTGCTTGATTTTTTCCTTTAAGCTGCAAATCTGTTTCCTTTGACAAGTCTGAACCCTGATCAAGTGCACGAATCTTCCTCTCCCACCGTGGAACATCCATTGGGACTGGTTGAAGCATGCCAAACTGCCTGAGGCAACGATCAGGGAGGTGTCTCTCAGCCTTGTCAAAACATATTAGCACAGTTTTTGAGGCCCGTAAAATCAAACTCTCTTTTATATCTCCCACTGAAGAAGAAGGGTCCAAATCTTTGTATGGGAGCCACTTAACCTGTATGTCAGTACCATACGAATTACTATTATCATCTTCTGATCAATATATGATCACATAAATCGAGCAAAGATCTAAATGACCTACATCTGAAGGTTGAAGGGAATCTAAGGCTTTGCGGTAGGAAACTATATTACTGTTTGATCTTGGTCCACTTGCTCTTCCTTTCCACCGAAGTGCAAATGGAAAGCAACCATCATTTGGTTCGTCATTGAACTTTGGATTTCCAACATTGAGGCGATAATAACTCCAACACTAAAAAGAACAAGAATCACAGTCACATTTTAAGTGAAGGCTATTGATATAAAGAGATGCCAGCAGCCCACTGCTACCACCGGATGATGAAAAGAAGGCGAAAATGCATACCTGCAGTAGTGTCAAAGAACCACTTATGGTGCTTTGAGATTTAAGGGAGGCATTACCAAGAGCTCTGTAGAGGAATGCCAAAGCTGCAGCACCCCATGCAAACTTTCCAGCTTCATCGAACTTTTCAAACAATGGAAGATACATTACAGAGACTTTGTTTCCAGTTGTTGTGGAAAATATTGTACAACCAACGAGGTATAGGAGATAAGCACGCGTATGACGCTCAATCTCTTCAACTGGTGCATCTTCAGGACATTTAGAAAAGCACTCTTTCAACCAAGTTAGCTTCACCATTCCACCATTTAGGTCTTCCGGCACTTTCCCTAGTAAATTTTCGCATACTTTTCCGGGTGTCCTTGTTACACCCATAACTGGTTTTCCATCAATTGGTAGCCCAAGCAACAATACAACATCTTCAAGTGTTATGGTCATTTCTCCAACAGACAAATGAAATGTATTTGTTTCTCTCCTCCACCTCTCAACTAGTGCCGAGATGAGTGAATTGTCAAGGCTAATCGTGGGAATTGTTCTGAGGTACCCAAAACCAGCTTTCTCAACCAATTCAATTTGCTTAGCTGTGAGCTTCCATTGTTCAAGCATTGAACTGTGTTCATGGCATCTAAGCACACCACGTTCCTGTAAAGTTCTAGTGGAATTGTTACACACAGAATTATTCAAACTATCGATATGATTTTAACAAATACAAGTAAAAAAATGAAATTAAGGATAAAAGATTATTGTCTAACCTGTCCATCCCAGATTGCTGAAGAAATATGGTTATCTTGATCGTACAGTACAGAAATATCGATTGGTCCGGGATCTATAGTTGACCCCATCTGAGCCACTCACAAAAGAAATTTTAAATTAACACAGAAAAGCGATTACATTTTGAAACTAGCTCCATAAGTTCCCTAAACAATAATATATTTAATAGGGTTTAATCATGTACTTATCCATAACTATCAACTGCAGTAACTTCAAATTATATATCTGCAACTCAGTTCAAGGTTGACTTTGGGGGCATGAGGTAAAGTTCCTCTCCTGAGGTTCTCCCTTTTTTGTTAATTTCAAGTATTACCAAATAAAAATTAATCTGTTGATACTTCTCTTCCCAATGCTGGAAAATGTCTTAAGTTCGAATCTCCCCGTCCCATTGATAAAAAACAATTACTCAAAACACAACCATAACACAGACAAAGAAAGTATTTATCAACATTAAATTAGGATCATTCTCTCATACATCCTTCAATCAAATAAGTTTAATGAAAACCTTTTTTTCTTCAAAAGCAGAAAACTTTAGAACAAATTTCGTTTTTGAACAGTGTGGTTCTTCCAAAACCGAAACAACAAAGACTTTCATGAAAGAAAAAAAAAAACAGAATAGTTCCTACAGCTAATTTGACAAAATTAACCCAAAAAGCCATGCCTTTGACTGAATTACAAATTAAAACAGCTAATTTGACAAAATTAACCCAAAAAGCCAATGAATTTTTAAGGAAACCCTAAAAACAGGAATTGAATTAAAAGCTTCAATACTGTACTGACCTCAAATAGGTTTTGGAGAGTACGAGATGCTTACGACCTTGAAGACGACGGAGAAGCCAAAAACGACGACAGTTCAGGTGTCGTGCGTTCTGGTTCAGCTGACTTCAAAAGGAATTAGAATCTACAAGATAGATATCAAAGTCGTTCGTCTTTTCGCGATGGCCTAAGCGTTAGAGGAACGGCGTCGTATTTGGGTATGGATGGATAACGACGACATAATACCTACCGAGTTCTGTTTTCGTTAATGGCCAACGGCAAAGAGAAGAACGTCGGTGGGTGTTTCTGTTTGTGTTTGAAAATGAAAAACGACCACAACTTATGATGTGTCGTGTTACGTTAATAATCTACACGACATTGGTATTCAGGTCAATCCTTTGACAGTGTATTTTTTTATTGCTCATCAATATCCACATATTTTGATTCGGCTCAAATGAGGGGAGTATTTATAAAGAAGGACAAATTTTTTTGTATTTTGACTATAACGCTCTTATTCATTTTTAGATTGCTTAAGAACTCCTTTTATGCTCTTCTTATGGTACCAAAAGTCTTACTTCTTGCTGGCCGTATGGAGTCAGAAACTTGGATCACTTGCTTTTTTGGATTGTTGCTGAGATGATATCCTCACATGAAATGAGGTTGATATGCTTCTGCTATCATTAGGTCTTCATATGGAGTTATGACTTCATCATATGCTTCCATCATAATGTCTATATTGTGTAGTTCTTCTTCCCCTAAGCTATTCTAGTATGAGTTGTCATTATCTTCTACTTCAATCTAATCTGCTATCTGGTTGTAGCTTTTTTTATTTATTTTATGAGATAAGGGGGACAAACCCCAAAAAGAAACGACAGCTAACTAGTACAGATCAAGCGAGGCCTAACAACTCCTAGTAAATCATCCTCCAAGAAAGAGCTAACCCAAGCAGGGGGCTCATCCAAATAACAAACCCCCAAATCCAAGTTAAAGCTCCAGTTAGCCATACAATCAGCTACAACATTCATTTCTCTATAAACATGAGCAAGGTGGCAATTGCCAATACGCCTCATAAGAACACAACAACTCTGAATCAATGCAGCAAGAGGGTGACAACTCAAGGTACCAACTTGCTGAACAAGGGAAACAACAACTGCAGCATCCATCTCAATAAGAAGATTAGAGACACCTTTATCCCAGGCCAACTAAAGCCCAAAATACAAACCCCAAAGCTCAACCTCAAGGATCTGCCCCTTACCTAAATTCACAACAAAACCACAAATCCAATAGCCATCAGCCCCACGGATCACTCCGCCAGCACCAATACAACCTGAGGCTGCTCTCTTAGAACCATCCACATTCAATTTAAACATACCTAAACCAGGAGGCTCCCAACTGAGTAAAAGCTGAGCTTTAGGACTCACCTTTATGATCAGAAGTGGTACGAGGCAGATGTCTAACATGACCCTCAGGAAATAAGTGTCTCCACTTCATGTTATAGATAGCACGATCAAGCCTCTCAAACACTTTATTATCTCTCCAAGTAAAGTTAGGCCCATAAAAACCCAAGTCCATCATATTATTACCATCAAACCACCTTTAAAACCCTTTCAACCTATTCACAAAAACACCTCCCAACTTATCATCAACCCCTAGCATTTCATTGAAATCACCAGCTAGTAACCAAGGCAATTGATGACAAGTAGCAACAAAATCCAAAAACTCCCAAAGCTTCTCCCTCTTAAACCCACTAGGATTAGCATAAATCATAGTTAACAACCAGGGAGAATGGTCCTTCCAAGATACACAAGCTATAATAGACTGATCAGAAGTCCCAATGATGTCCAGATACACTCTGCTATCATCCCACATCAACCAAAGACTACCAGAAAACCCAACTAAATCAACGATTTCAACATAAGAAAACCCCAGAGATGTAGCAATATTCAAAACCTTCTCACCACTAATTCTAGGCTCACATAAAAACAAAATATCCATATGATGAGTATGGATCAACTCCATCATATTATTTTTGAATTTTGTGCTAGCAGCACCTCTAACATTCCAACAAACTAAATTCATAATGAATGAGTTAACAACAAAAAAGTTAACTTGAGGGCTTTACCCTTTAACAACCAAGAGGCATACCTCCAACATTGTCGAAGGTATTATCTTCCAATTGCTCTTCAGGAACATTTCATTGCCCCTCAAACAAATCCATCTATTCAACTTTATTTGGGCTTCCAGGAATCGAGGAGAGAAGTTGCTCCTCATCAACATCAGAATCAAAGCTATCCTTCAAAGACTCCTCATTTTCCTGTATGTTGGGTGGCTGATGTCCAAAGAAAGAAACTCCTTTCTCTTTGGATATATCATTCTCATTAACCCGACTAGCAATCTGATCATTTACAATACCATTGGCATTAACCTTTTCTCCCCTTGTCCCAAATCTCTCTTTTATAGTCGTACCTCCAAAGGGGGTTTTATTACCACCAACAATTTTCCTACCATTCTCACCACCCTTACATTGGATGTGAATAGAATGGTTAGAAATATCATTCAAAACCAGTCTCGAGACACTTTTAGACTTTTGCGATTTAGTCCATACCTTGGGACTAAAATTAACAACAGGAGTAGAAGAACTAGCTGGGTTGGAATAGTTTTGCATTGGCTCCACATCACTACCAGCTTCAGCTCTCCCAAAATCATCATTCGCTTGTCGAAGAGCAGCAAACTTGGACCCCTTTGACTAAGCACCATAACCTTTACCAGTACCATCTCTAAAAGAAGCCTTGACATTCCGTCTAGGTTAAACAATCATCCATGGACCTCTTAACCCACTCTCCACAAGCATATCCTTAGCAACCTTAATGCTAGAGTCAGTGGCCATATAATCCACTCCCCCCTCATCAGAAACCCCTGCATTAATCTCCACATAATTCACAGCTTTCATATCACAAGCCTTCCTTTTATGACCATATTTTCCACACAAAAAACTAATCTCAGGCAACCCTTCATATTCAACATTATATCAATTCTGATTAATTTGGACAAAAGATTCTAGAGGCTGGGTTAGATCAAGTTCCACACAAAGTCTAGCAAACTTACCCTGATTTTGAGGTTTGGTTAGAGAATCATTTTTCAAGAGCTTGCCCAATAGATTGCCAATTCTCTTCAAAGACCACACATCAAAACATTCCAACTGTAAAGCAGACACCCTAATCCAAGCAGCCATCCTAGTAATCTTAGCAGTAGCTGGGCAAAATCCAGGCTTCCATTTCTGCATCGCTAAATACTGCCCTGCAATAATCCAGGGCTGTCTAGGGAGAACAAAATTTAGATCTTCCTCTAGCTCAAATTTCACCACAAAATAATCATTGACTATATCCATCAATTTCCAGCCCCCTTTAAGACACCATTTTTGTTGCAGCCTAGCATGAAGATAATTATAAGTGTGTGATCTTCCTAGCAACTTAGATCAGAGCATTCTTCCAAGGCTTACACAATTGATCCATAGCTCGTTCGGAGAATTGGATGCTTGGACCATGCTCCCCACGAGAAACTACAACATCTGTCTCATCATTGAGATCATCGTAATCCGCCTCAAGACTGTTCACATCAATTCCCACATTTTTCGCTAAATTGACCGTATCCATCAACTTATCCCTAAAGCTCACAGATCGAAATCCAGATCTACCTTCCATCATTGGAGCATCAACAAAACTCGAATTCAGCATCAGAGTATGATCGGAAGCACCTTCCATACCATACTCAGGATCACGATTCTTCGACGCTCGGACTGGCTTCGTCAATCAGGAACTCTTAAAGAACACACCAAGTGAACCTTCCTCCATACTCGGAGAAGGCTTAGAGAACGCACAACCAGTAACTAGGCAAGGCTAAACCTAGAAACCGCCGCGTACGACAGTTTCTAGACGACGAAGAACGAACTCTCCCAACTCTGTGAAAAAAGAAATTTGCCAAAAGATATTCTTTTTTTCTAATGGCTATACTCTTCTGGTTGTAGCTTTCATAAAAAAACTTGTGCTCCTGTTTTGCTTATTCTAAATTCATATGTCTCATTTGGTACTCCTGGATATAGTCTCAGAATAGATGTTGATAAAGTTGGATTGGTAAAGGAGGTTCAGATGATCATCATTAAACAATTGTTGCTCAGCTATTGTTGCGCCTCTGTATTTTTGAATATCTTGCTTGGTAGAGATTTCTGTATTTACGAATTCTGCCGAACTAAGCAGTTCATTATGAGAAATAATAATACTATGTTGTACTCTATCTGGGTAAATACTATTTGTATACCACTTTGGAGATATACTTGTGAAATCTAATTTTACATTTTTCCAGAGAGGGATATAAAAACCTATAACTTCTTTTAACTTTACGGAAAATGAATCCATATGATGACTATTTTCAATATAGTTGACCTAAATAACCATACTCTGCTAAAAATCCCGGAGTAATTGTGACAGTTTTTTTGGGTATGCTATAAATACAATTCTCTATATTCCACCATGTTAATACTAGCTAAATAAATAGTATAATGAGAACAACTTTTAGTAATAATTTTTACACCGAGTTGTGGATTATTTTTTAAATTAAAAACAAACGCTTGAATGTATAACTGAAGAGTTGTATTTTGCTCATATTCTAATCCAATCATATAACTCTTAATATCTTCTGGTAAAAACCTATACATTTCTCTAGCTAGAGTTTGAAGAAAATATGAATTTTTAGTTTTTTGCTCAAGGGAAAATTCTTTATTGAGCTCAAGTAAGTTGGGCTCATTAGCCTCTTAACCATGCTTAAATTTTGACATCTTAAATTAATTTTGCTATTTTATAATCATAATTATAAGCTAAAAGCTGTTCATGGGCTTTGATAAGTTTTTCATGCCCTCTTTTCATGCTTTCATTATTAGTTCTAATGTTCCAAAAATTGTCTAAAAGCACTTTTTGTTTTTCTGCTAATGATGCTTCAGTGTGATATTTTGAAACAAGATTTCTAATTTCCTGTACTGAAATTCCATTATAATAATACGTATTTACTACTAGTTATGCTTGACTACTTATGCTTAATGGATTACCACCTTGTGATGGTGTACCATTATTTTTGCTGCCACAATATGATGCTCCAAAATATTACATACATGTTAATGAATAATACGAGATAAGATGTCTCCTAAAGTATTATCGATACCTTTAATATTTTCATTATGTAAAAACAATGAAAATGCTTCGAGAGAGTTTATAACTCCTAAAATTTCTAAGTCTGTGGCTAGAAGTCTAGCATGTAAATCACTAAATTTACCAGATGCATACCTACAAACTTGTTTGTCAAATTTTCGGTCTTCTTTATGCTTCTTTTGATATAAAATTCTTGCCCATCCTATTGATGATGCATCTATTTCAACTATTTTAAAATTAGGGTATACTGATGATTTACCCCCTGAACTTGTACCTCGCTTTCAATTAGCCCCCTATCCAAAAAAAAATGCAACAAAGCTGAAGAGATATGGGATTGTCATTTGTTGTAAAACTTGTGGAGGTGAAGGTCACAATGGAGAAAGAGGCGGAAGACAGGTATGAAGATTGTGATTATTTCTGTTGATATGAACTTTGTTGAAGGTGCAAGTTGGTCCTTTATTAGATATGAACTTTTTTATTATTTTTTGTTCAAGGAACAAGCTAGAGGCAGGGGAAGGGGAACAAGTATGCCAAGTGTTCCTGTCAGACAACCAGATCAAGCTGAGACTTCAATCCAAGATAGACCTTTTAGAAGAACAAAGCTTGGGGTAATACCATATGTACTGATTTGCTTTCAATAATTACATTAAATGTTTAAACCAAATTTGGACTGATTTGCTGATTTTTGTCATTCAATTAGGCGAGAAGAGGGGGGCAAGTGTCTGAACTAACAAGGCAGCTTGCTCAAACTGGTGCTACCTTACAAGGAATTCAAATTAGGCATGCTTCTCAACCAAACTCAGAAAATGTACCTCTACCAAAAAGACCAAGGCCATGGAGAGTGTAGTTGAGATTTGCTGATTTTGGTCATATGTGGTCATTGGGCTGATTTTGGTTTTTTGGAACACCAAAACATTAGGACTGCTTATGTAATGGATATGTTTTGGAACATTTGATTTTGATGAATTTGTAGCTGATATGGTCCTAGGATTCTCAGACTGATTTCAATGGGTTAGTATTGGAACACAAATGTTTTGGTTGGATTACAGTTAGAACAAATACGTGTTGCTTGGATTCGTGTTGGAACGGATGTTTTGTAATGGATATCTTTGCCTGCAATGGATATGTTTTGATTTAATAGTGTTGCAATACTTATGTTTGCTTGCTTGCTTATATGACCTTTTGGCCAATTGGAAACAAAATTGTCAAAACACAACTCATACATGCCATTACATTCAACAAAAAGACCAAAAGTCCATGTATTACACCTCTGCAACACAACTGATACACGGCAGGTCACATTGTCTTTGCCTTTCCCTCTCCCCTTTATTTATAGGACAGATTACACAGGCTTCTTTGGCAAATATTCTTCATTGTCTTTGCCTTTCCCATACATCAACCACAAAACTATCACAAACAACAAACAAGACACCCAAAACCAACAAGGGTTTTTTTTTTCAGCTTCTCTGGCCGAGACTTGTTTGCATCTTCCATCATGTTTATTTTCCGTAGCAGCTTAGGTATAATTTGCTTCGACCTCTCACACATTTGTGGGTCACCCCATTCCCAATATCTACATCTATTCTGCACATTTCTCACAACAAATTGATACATAAAAAACAAAAGAAAAAAAGTGCTTCAGTCCAAATTTCAACTAAGCAACCCAAATTTCAAATATGCAAACCAAATTTCAATTACAAAATTACCCTCCCACAGATGTAAAACCTCCTCCTTGAATGTGCAGCAGTCTAAGATGTTTGGATTTTCATAGTCTTACCACAATAGTAGACGACTGAAGGCACCATCCATGAACTACCCTCTTCACCTTCTGAATTCCACCTCTGTGACCCATCACCTCCATGACCTCTGCCAGTTAAGGACCTCCTCATCTCCTAATATTGGGTTTTCTCCTAAACCCTAGATCCCCTTTTGGTTTAGGGTACGAAAATGGAGGTTGGGAAAATGGAGGGAAATTCTTTGGGGGGAAAAAAGAGCCAAAACGAAGGAACTAATAGGTGAAGCATGGGTTTAGTTCAGAGGAGACGCGAAATGACCAAATTAACCTCCAACTTCACGGCAGAATGGATGGAAAGTGCCAAATTTTGACGTCGGGGGCCACATTGGAGAAAAAAAATTAGTTCGGTTCCTTAATTTTCTTAAAAAAAAAAGGATTGGGGGCTAATTGAAAATTAGGTAAAAGTTTAGGGGGCAAATCACTAGTATACCCTTAAAATTATTGTGTAATGGTAATGCTAAAGGCTTAAGTTGACTTATATCTTGTTTAATACTTTGGACTAATTTAATATCTTCACTATTAAAATATTTTTGACATGTTTTACTATGCAATGCTGCAATCTTTCTTCCTAAATTAGGGATAAAACTTCTAGCATAATTTAATAATCCGAGAAATGCTTGTAATTGTTTTTTATCTTCTAATTTATCTAGAAATTCTAACACTTTTTTAGATATGTGTTCTTGTAATTTTACAGTTCCTAACTTAATATATGTCCTAAACATTCTATATCTTGTTTTTCAAGTTCACTTTATTCCTACTTATAACTATATCATTATCAATAAATTATTTCTAAGTGTTTTCTATGTTAATTTTTATTTTTACTATGAACAAGTATATCATCTACATATATACTACAAAAATTATCATACTTCTTAAAAATTTGACCCATCTTTCTTTGAAAGATCGATGGTGCATTTTTCAATCAAAATGGCATAATAAGCCATTCAAAATGTCCTTCTGGACAAGTAAATAATGTCCATTCAATTGATTCTTCTACTAGTCTAATTTGCCAAAATCTTGATTTACAATCAAATTTACTAAAATATTTACTTTCTTGAATTTTATTCATAAGCTCATCTTTATTTGGTAGTTTGTAACTATCTTCATATGTATTATCATTTAGTCTCCTATAATTATACACTATTCTAGCTTTACCTCTTTTAAGCTTTGAATGTTTTCTAACTACAAAGGTTGCTGATCTATGCCTAGATTTTGATAGGTCTAATTACTTTTAAGTTTAAAAGCTCTTTTATTTGTTGTTCAAATTCTTGCTTGTCTAACAAGATACATGGCATATATGCTGTTTTAATTATTAAGTCTAGAATAATAATATCTAATTTTGCTAATATCTTATTATTATTCCAATGTAATTAGGGATCTTCTCCTATAATTCTAATTTGTTCAACTAATTAAACATGCCTCCGATCAAAGAATAAATTTTGAAAAATTAGCAGCGGTGTTCAGTCTGAATACCGATCCGATTATGAAGCAATTGATCTCTGCTATGCTTGGAGTAAGGATTGTGGATCATCACGAATGGTACTTAGGCTTGCCGACGATGACGAGAAGAAACAAGCCGCAATTGTTTATCCATGTTTGAGAAATGCTTTGGAAGAAACTCAATGCCTGGAATGGGAAGTTTTTATCTGCGGCGGATAAAGAAAGTTTAATTAAGGCCGCGGGACAGGCTCTACCTACTTATACTATGGGAATTTTCTAATTGCCTATTCAGTTATGCCAAGATCTTTCAGCTATGATCGCACGATACTGGTGGGGGAAAGCGGGGAGAAAGGGCATTTAGTGGATGTGTTGGCGTAAGCTCTGTCAACCTAAATCTATGTTTGGGGGGCGGGGTTGGGTTTCAAGAATTTTGAGGCCTTTAATAAGGCAATGGTGGCGAAGCAGTCCTGGCAGTTGCTGGAGAATCCTAGCTTATTGGTGGCTCGTGTATTAAAGGCAAGATATTTCCCTCATGCCAATTTCCCAGATGCTACGTTGGGGTCCTCTCCATCTTTAGTATGGCGCTCGATTCTTTGGGGACATGAAATCATTGAGGAGGGACTCATTTGGAGAGTGGTGAATGGTTTTTCGATCCGGGTGTTCTAGGATAAGTGGATACCTAAACCAAACATCTTCAGACCTTTGTTGAATAAAGGATTAAATGATGATAGTCAGTATTGGTTTTTTTTTATAAGAATAGGAAATATACAGTCAAATTTGGCTATCATGTGGCTCTGCGGCAATGTGAGGAAACGCGTGGTGCTAGTGTTGGTGTTTCCAATTCTAGGACCCAATATGTATTTTGGCAGCGATTATGGAGCTATGGATATTTCTAATAAGATCAAGATTATGATTTGGAAGGCTTGCTGTGATATTTTACCAACTGCCCATAATTTATTTCAAAGGAAGCTGTTGCAGAATCCTCTTTGATCACGTTGTGGTCTCTATTGTGAAGATATGATGCATGCTCTATAGTTGTGCAAGTATAGTAGAAAATTTTGGCGATGTTCTCCTTTTTTACGTAAGTTTTCGGTTATTGGCAGCAGTTTTGCAGATTTTTGGAGTTTGCCTTTCATAATTTTTCATGTGTTGAGTTGGAGAAATTTGTTGTATGTTTGTGGAGTGTATGGCATATGCGTAATGAAGTTGTGCATGGGAAAATCGTGGTACCTGTGGAGATGCTGGTAGAGAAAGCAATGGAGTGGCACGCTAGTTTTAAAGTCTGTAATGCTAAACCAGAGGTCGTGCGTGTACCCTGTCATGCTCGCTGGATCAATCCACCTGCAAACTCCTTTATCCTCAATTGTGATGGGATAGTCTTCGTGATTATAATGGGTTCTTTCTTTGTGGTTTTGCTGGAGATGGGCCGTGTGGGTTGGAGGTCCTGGGTACTGAATTGGTAACAATTAGGGAGGGACTCAAGGTGATGTCAGCAGCTAGTTTTTATGCACACTAAAATCTGTGGCAATTGAATCAATGCTAAGAGAAACTCTTTCTAGAACATCAACTTGAGTGTTGGTCTAAAAAGAGCTAGTGTTCCCCTCATACTCAGTTCTATTTCTTTTTTTCTGACCATTGCTTTCCAAGGGAAGCTCCACATTCGTGCCTTGAGTGGGTGATAGATCTTGGAATGTTGCAGCTTTAACTTCATTTGGTATGAATGCATGATTATCATAATCATAACTCAAGTCATCTATCCCCACACGTCTACTTTCTTCCATTCCTAATGTTCTTGCATTCGTATCATCTCCCAATGCAATTGAGTTTCTCCCAATGGCAGTTCCATTCCCAATTGCAATCCTCAAAAGTTCATAGTCAACAAAAATGTCTGTCTGAAAGTTGACATGGGCTGGGTGGGACTAACAAAGGGAAAAAAAAATACATACAATTAATGCATACACATACAAAATAATAAATTATCATATAATATATTTTCGAAAATAGAAGCTCACCTTAATATAATCTTTCCACACTTCATCACTAGCGGTGAACTTCTTTGTGATTGGATCCCACCCGAACCCAGAACTATGACGCATAAGCTCAGAAAAAAATATTATATCGTTGCTTAAACCATTTCAATCGGCTTAAGTATTGTGAATGATTCCTTTCACATCCAAGTTTTGCATTAAGAGCAGGAAGAATCATTTTCTCAACTGTTTGCTTGCTTAGCATTCCATTACTATCACGCCATCCACGATTGGCGGCATCAACCATGAGTTGTAGCAACTCATTGCTCTCTTCCAACGTCCACAATTTATAACCCCCATTAACTTTGCTCTTTCCTTTGTCATTTCCCCGTTGTGATTCTTCCATTGATAATTACTATATCACACGTACAAATCCTTATTAATTGTGTATATTTTCATAATAGCGTATTGGTAAAATGCATCCAATGCACCTTTTAAATTTTTATTTATCAAATCTGATCACATAGATAAGTAACATATTCTTATCAAAAGAAATAAATAGTACTCAATCATCAATGATATTTCATAAACACTCACAAATCAACAGAACTGGTCAGATTACAAGAGTCTATATTCCAGCAATTCTCCTAGCCCAATACGTGATCAAATTTAGAATATTATATGAAAAAATATCCACCTAACGAATTATGGGTAAAGAAACAATAATAATAAATTAATGGGTTTAGGGGCAAAAAATAATAATATAATATATTGTATGCAAACATAGCATATGAGAAAATCAATATAATAAATAGAGGGATGATATATCATGATGCAAACATGAGGAAAAGAACAGAAGAAATATTCATTCACAGAGGGAAAGTAACGTGTGGATGAGACTAACCTGGAGGAAGATGACAAGATGGGATATCAAAGTGGACCTCTTTGAAGAAAACAGATCTATCTGCGTGCTGCTTTGATATAATGAGGGAAGAAAGAATTGGGAGATGTTTTGTTTCTATCTTTTCAGCTTCCCAATAAGATATAAAGTCTGGTGTAAATTACCAAGACTTTTGGTAGTAAGAATTAGCTTTAAAAGTATTGAAAAGTCATTTATTTAACAAAGTTTTTAAAAGTCATTAACATTTTGGATACCTCGAAACTTTTAAATACTCTTTAAAACTCCCAATTGAATACAACTAAACTTTTAAAGACTATTTAAAAGTCACAATTGAATATCTCCAGACTTTTAAACTCATTAAAAGTCATTAAAAGTTAGAATTGGATACACCCCCTAAGACAAAAGGCACTAAAAATATGCACAAACAAACAGAACACTATTGCTGACACTATTGCCCCTTTTAAAATGTGAATAAAGACAAAATATCCACATGCTGTTTTAAGCTTAGGACTTGAATGTCTTTGGTGTTGAAGATAAGAAGTTTTTCTGTCTTTTTGAAAATATTTTGGGTTTATTTGAGAGCAAGCTGCTTTTTTTTTATAGGTTTTTCACTAGATTCCCAAAAGTAAAAACCAAATTATATATCCAAAAATGAATCTAATAACCTTCTCTTGCAATCCAATGTAAATCTTCTACTCATAAAGTCATATTTCTAAACATCATGAGTTCTCATGAGAATAAGATGGATGTTTAGAAATTCTAATAAATAAAACGGGTTGATATATTTTCATCGTTTGATATATATTATATATTTTTTGATACAAGTCTATATTATTTTAATTATCTAATTTACGGGGAGATGTCTTCAAACTTCAGTGCAAAAGGGTGAATACACTGCTATGGCAATCTACGTATGCACATCTTTTTAATATTAAAATTGTATCATATTGAATTTTAACTTTAGTCATTTAATAAATTATTATTTTCGAATATATACATAGATGCGAAAATAAAGATGCATTCACGTTTGAGGTATAATATTGGGAGATGTATACAATTTGTCTATATTGAAACTTTTATTGTGTAGAAATTAAGAGATGAATTGTGTTCGTCTCGTTTTGTGTAGATTTGATTTAGAATTGGCTTGATGCTCTTATTCAAGGTGACTATGCTTGATGCCCTTTCTACCAATTAAATGTTGATATCCTAATTTCAAACTAAAGATGATTAAACGCGCAGAAAATTGCGTCTATAGCAACAAGTGATCTTTGATTACATCGACCAAAAACACCTTTATTTAAAGGAAAATGTTAGGGAGACCAATTTGGGACACCAACTTGTGTACCAACTCTCTAATAGAGCGTGGGACCTATTGTATTGGCAGGTTCTACCTCTATTAGAAAGCAAAACAAATACAAAAAAACAAAAAAACAACTTAATTAACAAGACGGCAATCGCCAGTTTGCTTCTAGTCTTGAAAATGCGATGCAACTGATGCACCAGAGAATCCTAATAATATCTATCATTCTTCTTCTCTTGCTATTATTATTTGAAATTACAATGACAAAAACCCCCCCAACGTCGCCGCCCGACCTTCCATGCAAGATCCGCCTCTTACTCTCCCTCCTCACCGTCGTCATAAACACCGTCCGCCGCTCCAACGGCACCATCAACCGTCGTCTCATGAGCCTATGTGACCTCAAAGCCTCTCCGTCAAGCAAACCCAACAACCGCGTCAAAACCTCTGACGTGATGGTGGACCCCACTCGCAACCTCTGGTTTCGCCTCTATGTTCCCGCCGCCGCCATCACCACCACCGCGAGCAGCCCTTCCGCCAAGCTCCCGCTCATAATCTACTTTCACGGCGGTGGCTTTGCATTCTTTTCCGCCAACTCAAAACCCTACGATGACCTTTGCAAAAGACTTTCCGCAGAGCTCCCCGCCGTGGTCGTCTCCGTCAACTACCGCCTCGCTCCGGAGCATATTTATCCCTCCCAATACGAGGACGGCTTCGACGTGCTGAAATTCATCGACCAAACAACAATTGACGGGTTTGATCTCAACAACCTTGACATCACCCGGTGTTTCCTCGCCGGAGACAGCGCCGGTGGCAACCTGGCCCACCACGTGGCCGTCAAGGCGAGCGATCATCATGAGTTTGGCAAGATGAGGGTTGTAGGACTTATAGCGATACAGCCGTTTTTTGGTGGGAAAGAAAGGACTGAATCGGAGACAAGGCTTTCGAAGGGTTTGGCACTTTCTTTGGAGCAGACTGACTGGTACTGGAAGACATTTTTGCCGGAGGGGTCGGATAGAGACCACGCGGCCGCGAATGTGTTGGGGAAGGAATGGAAGGACGTCTTGGGGGTGAAGTTTCCGGTGACGATTGTTTTCGTGGGAGGGTTTGATCTGTTGCAAGACTGGCAAAGGAGATACTACGAGGGGTTGAAGAAGTCTGGGAAAGAAGCTTACTTGATTGAGTACCCAAATTCGTTTCATGGATTTTACGCTTTTCCTGAGCTCAAGGAGTCTTCTTTTTTGGTTAAGGAGGTGAGGGATTTCATTGAGAAGCTCTGCTATGCTCCCTCTGGCATATCTTTTTAATTTAGATTGCTCAATTTGATCTCTAAACGAACATTATAGCTTAAGCATTTTTGTTTTTGGGTGTCAAACTATGTAAATTTGTCTGTCTCTATAAGTCAGTATTGTTTCATAGTCTGTCTTGTTTGATTCTATGTATTTAGTTTTTGTCTGAATAGAACGCGGAAAGATGCAGAGCAATGATAAGGTGTTGATGATATCATTGTCCATAACATGTTGATAAAAACAACATTATCCCATAGTTGTAGGTGTACTGGACAGTGTTGGTTGGAAACGAATTGGACATCGCATAATTGCGCCGCCAAAACGGATAGTTGTTCTATATAGTATGTAGTGGAGGGTCACATTCTTGAGTCCATGAATGATTTCGACAAAACTTATGAATATCTATAGTTGAACTCATTTTCAGATTCCATACTTCATAAAGATTCAGTTTTTTCAATCAAATAATGGCATGTTTACTAATCCATAATTGGATTAGGAGGAATTGAATTGAGGAGTTGGATTGAGGAGAATTAGATTTCGGATTTCTATTGAAGTTGTTTACTAAATCATATGGAATTGGGGTAGGAGTGGTACTAATTACTAAAATGTACTCATTGTTTGATTAAAGTGGATGTCAAATTTGGAATTTTGAAAATTGTGTGAGGATATAATGGGTAAAAAAGATGAATTCCTAATGGGTTAGTTCTCCAAGAATTAGAATACCACTTCTCACCCAAGAATTGTATTCCTCCAAAATCAGGAATTCAATTCCTAATTTTGTGTGGGCCCCACTTACTTTTCATCAATTCCTCGATGTGAAGTAAACGCAACAATCCTCCACAGGAATTCAATTCTTGATGAGAATTCCAATTCCTGATTAATAAACACATCATAAGAGTTATCTTCTTGGGCTTTAGGTAGACAGCTCTCATTCTCACTAGCGTATAGTAAGAAAGATGAAGGTCCTTTTTTTTTTTTTTTTTTTTCTTTCGTTTTTAGAGAAGAGTATGTTAGTAACAAATGTATGTTCTTTATTAAAGGACTGACTGTGGAAAGAAATCATAAGGTGTCGCAATAAAATGTCAATAACATAACGTCTAGACATGTTATTGATACATTACCGATCACGGGCGGAACCAAGGCAAGGGCTGCCCTTGGCTGTAGCCCAGGGACAGTTTGGAAAAAAAAACAAATTAAATATACATATAGTCTAATATTTTAATAAAAAATAAATAAACAAATATACAATTTCAGTACCAATATGCATAGTAAGAGATCTTACACATTTGTATTTGGTGTCAAAGTTTATCCCAACATCAATTTTAAAAATTTTATATTAATTTGTCTCCAAAAGAGAAGCATTTTTCTAAATGAAATTCACCCTTTCGCGAATAATATGGCTCTAATTTCAATTTTATTTCTTGTGTTTACAATTATGTGATTTATATGATTTAATGTGTACTTTTATTTCTAGAAAAACTATAGAAAATGTAAGTACAAAAATAAATTTATCATTAAATTTTAAGCTAATAACTTTAGCTAGCCCACCCATTAAAAAATTTCTGGTTCCGCCCTTGTTACTGATTATAGGACAAAAGTTCTCACAAACGGAATTGACAAAGGTGTCGTTGCTAAATAAACATGAGAAACCTAACGAAGGTGTGGTGATACCGGTGTGTGCCTTTCTAAGACCCTTCGATGGTCAAGTTAGCCATTGCTTAAGAGAGTCTGGAAGAAAAGTTTGGTGGACAACCATGGGTTCAAATTGAACGTACTTGAAAATGTAAGTACAAAAATAAATTTATCATTAAATTTTAAGCTAATAACTTTAGCTAGCCCATCCATTAAAAAATTTCTGGTTCCGCCCTTGTTACTGATTATAGGACAAAAGTTCTCACAAATGGAATTGACAAAGGTGT